TGTGTGTGAAAGTAATATCTAGAGTAAAAACATTGAAAGAACTAAAACAACACCAGAAACTTGCCACCCTTTAAGAAAGGGAGTCTTTATCTTACAAATGACACCACTTACATGATCAGCTGTTCAATGGAGAATATTCTACTTAACAATAACGTGTTAACACTAACTGTGTGCGGTGGCTTGCTCAGATTTTGATCATTACATTGTTTATTCTAAACAAAATAGTTTTAAGCAACTAGATTGGTTGTTTTCCTATCAATCTATTCTTAGAATCTATCCAAACTCTGTTCCAGCTGAAAGCAACTTTCCTACAAACTCCCACATATTGGCTGAATACTTGGGATGTTTAAATGCCTGTCAAAATTCTTCCGCTTTCTGAACCTCTTCCCGAAGCGATCACGTGGTATCACAGTAGCGAGGCCTCGGACGTCATCAGTTTTGGCCCCTCCTCTAAAAGAATCATGCCTTGAAACATGCTTCGGGTAAACGCCCCCCTCCATGACTTGACACACGCCTCGGCTCATCTCATAACATCGCTCTTCTTCTGTTCCCATTTAAAAGTTGGCAGAACAAAATGCTGCTGTGGTGGTGCAATATTATATACTTATAGGACATTCTGCTAAAAAAATAATATTATAAAACCTATGTTTCCTCAGAAGTATGAAAGGAAAAGCTAAGCAAACAAAGAATTATGTATAGAAAAAGCTAACAGTTTTTCTAACCCCTGGAAAAATTAGTATTAAAATAGTCTTTTAATTTCCAATCGTGTTGCTTAAGAAATTAAGTTATATTAACAGTAGCGATAGGTTTCCTAATGATTATGGCGAAGGGTACAATTAAAATCTAAAGGCAGGTGAAAATGTCAGCTAAAAATCAGTCTTTCCTTTGAACTTGTTAAACCCACTTTAAGAGCGGCTCTTCTTTTACATACATGGTTTGACGTTGCCTAGAAACACATTATGATATTTAAAGCTTTGGAAGGAAAATCAGAATCAGACAAAAAAATATATAATTTTTGAAACAAAGCTGTTAAAAAGCAGCATGAATATCTGATTGGCTCATCAGTAGGCTTTAAATGACTGCTGCAGCCAAAGTAGGACCTGAACAACTCTGTGTTTAATGCAGAGCATGCGGCTGACCTTTTAGAGAAGGTTTCACTTTCTTCTCTGATTATTAATCATATTATTAGGAGACAAATTTATACTTGTGTCAAGCATCAAATTATAATTATTTTATATGCCAGACCAAAAAAAATATATATTGATGTGTTCTTAAAAGCAAACGGGTTGTTTAAAAGATTAAAATGCAAATATTGGACATTGGTTATCAAAAGGATGACAGGTGCAGTTTTTTAAATATTCCATGCATGGAAATTTTCTTTGTGATTGTGATAATTCGGTCCTCAAAGAAAAAGTAAATCATACATTTTTTATTTCCCTTTTTTTTTTTTTTTTATTCTCACAGTTTGATTTGTTTTGTCAAGCTTTTTGCTTCTGTGTGGGCCAGAGGTATGGCAGGAGAGAAACAGTGCATGCATAATTTAGGCTGTTCGGCTGAAGCTCCTTTCTGCCAACATGAGGAACTGGACCAGAATTTATTTACTGACCCTGTGTACCTACAGCTGTCTCCTCTTTATTATTATATTTTGTTATTTTTCCAACGGTGATTAAAGTAAAGTAGCTAAATGGTGTTCACATAACTGTGAATAAAATTATTTTCCCCCTTTAACTGCTAAGCTTTCACCTTTTTATAGCTTGTGCACAAAGGAATTGCATACCCAAATTCCATTATGCTATGTCCAGTAATATAATTTTAGAAATCCCACCTGCTTTTGATGTATCACACCTAAAAGCTAAGATCCTCTAGTTCCAGGATATGTACACAAACTATGTAGCTTAAAACATGTCCAAAATTAGAATTTTTTCTGTCACATAAAATTATGCAAATTTAAATATTCTATATTTTGGGTATAATTTATGGTTAACCTTTCCAGCTCACCACACTTGTTGGTTGTGTTGTGGATAACAAACATATAATATTTCAGATGTCTAGCTCTAAGCATTGTGAAACCATCACCCTTTATCTATGCAAATGGTCCATTCGGTACAATTGTTCCAAATTAGAACCAAAAGTGGCAAACTGGTTTATTTGAATTTTATGACTGATTTGAACATAAAAAAAACTAATTTGTATATGTAGCTTTACACCAGTTTTCATTCAAGCACTTTCTTTTATATTTCCAATTTTCACCTTTCAGAGTTTTGACAATGCATTTTCTGTTCATATCCAGAGGCCTGTTTCACAAAGCAGGTCTAACAAACCCAGACTCAAATCCTCAACTTTGAATTGATCTAGCATGCGCTTGGAAACTAAGTTTTTGGTTTCACAAGAGCTTAGCTAAATTCCAAATCGGCCCCTTAACACTAACCCTAAGCTCTAACCCTCCATTTGTGGGTACCCATGGAGGGTCCGCCACAAAAGGGGCCATCCCAAACCATTTAGTGGGTAGGGCCCTTAAATAGTGAGTCTGCATCAGTACAGGCTTGCTGGAACTTGGCAGCAAGCATAACGGAGAGCTAGTGCCGGAGGAAACGTGCATTTAAATTTAAGGTGGTTTGCTGCACCTCCATCACACTGACAGAAAATCACAAGTTAGGAAAAAAACAAAACAAAAAAAAAACTAATTATTCCCTAAATGGAAGGTCTACTTTCAAAAAGTTTTACTGAGTGGATAGAATATATTTTAATAAAATGGCAAATGTCTGATGTCATGTTAACCACACACTTGCGGCGTCACTGGGTTTACATAGAAATGACTGCTTTTCTTTTCTGTTAGAGGTAAGAGACCATCTAAGGCATCTTAACTTGTCAGTTAAGGGTAAGTCGTTAGGGGACGGTTTGGGATTTAACCCTACAATAAGTTAGTTATCACCTCTAAGTTGGTCCACTTAGACTTGAGCACGTGCCTAACAAGTATGAAAAGCCAACATCGATGGAGCACCGATTTGAAGAGTTACCATGACAACAGGCAACAGGAAGTGCCTATTTCACCTAACTGGACCTAGAGATTTTAATGCAGAAATGAAAAAACAAAATAGAGAACATGTTTCAAAAACAGGGCAACAGCGCTACAGCTGCAAAGGATATGGCGTAATAGAAGACTGCTGCTTGAGTTAATGCATATGTTTATATGTAGTCTGCCATGGCAGGCCATTTTAAACTTAATTAAAAGCACTCTCCTCTCTGTTGTTTCATATGTTGATAACTTAATTAGGATTCTTCCTAGTCAAAATTGTAGTATAATAACAGATTTTCTAAATAACATTTTTGTCAGCAGAAACTTAATTTCAGAAAGTAATAAAAATCCAAATCCTTCTAGTAAGAATTAAGTTGGGCCTATTTTAAACCAGGACAGAGTGTGTTTTGGAATGCCAGAAAACAAAAACAAGGTCAGGAGTGAAAATAATGAGTTAGAATTTGATGATATATTATCAGTTATCTGTATTTTTGGAGTAGAGTTTGCTTTTAGTTGATGATCATTGGAATATATGATGTACAACAGGTTTTTTTTTTTTTTTTTTTTACAAATAAACTTGGTGTTAGATGGGAAACAAAATGTGACGTCAAAACATCCTGGGGCAGGCAGTGGGAGCTAATGGGTTAAAGGTTTATTTATTTTTGAAAAAATTTTTGTCACATTTTTTACCGCTTTACTTTCAGAGAATGGGAAATCTGCCACAGAGGCTTGAAATGATATGCCAATCTGTCAACATCATATTCTGTCCTCTCAGATTTATGTTATGTATTTAAATGGTCTGCTTCTATTTTTGAATTATGTTAGTTTCCAAAACCAATCACATACACAAAGCATGTCAATGTTTTAAAGACATTTATAGTTCCCACGGTGCCTGAATGCAACAGCAGTTATCTGTTGTTCAGCTCCTGTGTTGAAACGTTAGTCATGATACCACATCCCCGTCACCAGAGGCCCCGTCCATCTCGGACCCATTTGAAAAAAAATAATCTATAACTGCGAGAAACAAAGACGTGCTACATGACCTTACAAACCTGACCAGGGCGATGAGCCGTTTAGTGTTTGACTTCGCAGATTAATGTACAGCAGATGAAACGGTTGTTTTGTGCACTGATGAGGATTGGCATTAAGAATCCACAGGAGATTGCAGGTCAACAGGATGTGAAGTGTTTTGATCACGAGAGAAGCGTTTGTTTCTTTTTATAAGTACTGCAGAGTGGGGTGGGTTTGCTCTGTTAAATAAAGTCTCTTTCTGTTTTGAAAGGACCCAGATCAACTTCACGGTGGCCATTGATTTCACAGCTTCCAATGGTGAGTATAGAGCCTAAAGATTGACGAAATACTCAGAGTATGTTAAAGAAATGTATTCAAGTATATGCAAATAGAGAAATCAAGTGTTCCTTAAGGACACCCCCTTATCCCAAACCACTGCCACAACACCTGGGAGCTAAAGCTCATCATAAGAGGCTAAGATAGTGTTAATTACAGGCAGTTATGCTACAGTTGAAGTTATGCCATGCAGAACAAGCAGCAGCAATACTAATGTGTCTGTTGGTGCACCTGGTCTGGTGGGTTTATTAGAAACTGAGACCATGAGTTACAACCTTGGAGGTCAAGATAAACTGCACATTAATTAAGGAGGCAAGCAGAGCATTTCCTCTTTTCTTATGAACCCGATTAACAGTTTGTTTTCACTTACAGCAAAATATTTTCATAACATTAGATGTCATACTCTGTAATTGACAGGAAACCCAGCCCAGCCGACGTCTCTCCACTACATGAGTCCGTACCAGCTGAATGCCTACGCCATGGCCCTGAAGGCAGTAGGCGAGATCATTCAGGACTACGACAGCGACAAGATGTTCCCAGCGCTGGGCTTTGGAGCCAAGCTGCCGCCAGATGGACGGGTGTCCCATGAATTTGCCCTGGTGAGTGAAACACTTTGACATGACGTTGAGCAGCAGACGTGCAGGATAGGGGAAACGCTGATTAAGATTGATTGGCTTTTAAAAAAGTTAGAAAATCTGCTGCCATCTTACTTTCTTATTGATACCACTTTCTAATTATACAACTTATTATACCACTAATGCATCCCTTCACTCAGTTATCAAGGTAGCAAAATTTTTTAGGTTTTGCTACCTTGATAACTGAAAGAATAATCTAGGATTTCTGTACAGTTACATTCAGAGTCATCTGCTTAAATACCCTTAAAAAATCCAGTGAAACCAATTGCTTTAAATCATATAATGATAAAGTAGAGTTAATTGGTGTGAAATGAACTTTTACTAAACATACAGCTGTTTTATGAAGGGAGTTTTGGAGGAAATTAAAGCATCATGAAGACCTAGTGAGTCTGGAGGAGCTGTGGCTACAGCTCAAATAGGGGAATTCTGTTGGCAGAACAGCTATTAGTCATATTCATTACACATTTGACTTGAAAAAAGCAACTCCTTATAGAAAACATTATAAAAAAGCTCTGTTGGGAGTTTGTTGCAAAGTGATTTGCAAGCGACAAAGCAATGCCCACAGTGAAACATGGTGGCGGCAGCATCATGCTGCGAAGAGGCTCTCTTTCTGCAGGGACAGGGGAGTAGAAACTAAAGACCCAGTCAATGTCTAAACCTAAATCCAGATGAGGATTAAAAAAAACTGAACAGATTTTCCTAATCTACACTGACCTTTCCCACATATTGACCTTTTATCTTCATGGTTAATTAAAGCCTCTTTGTTTCTTAATGTTTCAGTGACATTTAATTTCTCCTTCTACTTCGCTTTATTGTCATTGGCTTTATTTCCATCCCGAAACATTTGAAAATAACTGTCCTCTCCTGATTTAGTTTTCCTTCTTTTTGCACATCAGAACGGTAATCCTCAGAATCCGTACTGCGCTGGTATTGATGGCGTGATGGAGGCCTACTACCAAAGCCTGAAGTCTGTTCAGCTCTATGGACCCACTAACTTCTCGCCTGTCATCAACCACGTAGCCAGGTACTCAAACTACCACAATCAAATCAACTTTTCTTTGTTTCTCCACTATTTTCTATCATTGCTTATGTAATGGATTACATTGGAGTATGTGTGAAAGAACACTGGGTACCCTGACACTAAACACACTCTTCTCCATAATGAGCTCTGTGAAGCAAGTGTTGCCAGGTAGCTAACAAGAAGTGTTTTCATTTAAGGAGCTGATTACATGTTTGTTTCTGTCTGTGCTTCAATAAGAGCATAAATCATGCCGCAGGGAAGGAGAGCGAGCACGTCAGAAGAAGTTCTCCAAAAAAACACATTAAGAAACTTTTCATACAAGAGTTTAATTAAAGAGGAGCAGCCAAGTGATGTCTCATCAGGTTATTTCACAGATCTGGGGGATAATTTACTGAGGTCTTAGCTGCATGACGAAATTAAAGCACGGTCTGTGAGAAAAGACGGGGATGTAAATGCATATCAGGCTTTCTTTTCTTTTTCTATGATCGACTACTAGAAGAAACACTCCCATGCACACATAAATTAATACATGAACATATACAGTTTAGTGAAAAAGTAAGTTTGGATGCAATAAAAGCATGAGGCAGTGCTTAGCCTTCCTTGGAAGCAGGAGTTTTTGGCAGTTTGTGGCTCTAAAGCAATATATATTAAACAATGCCGAATGTAAAGACAACAGCATTAACTTTACTGAGGTGATCACTGACTGCACATTAATCTGGAAAGATTGACAAGGTTGTTGCCATAGAAATCTGAAAACTATCATTTAATAAATTGTCAAAAGTAAAATGCTTCATTGTGTCAAAATAAGACAAAATACGGGGAGATATTTACTGCTAAATTATGAGAAACTTATTAAAAAAAATAATTAAGGGATTTTAAGTAAAAATAATAATAGTTGTTGGATGAATTAACAATATATAATATAAATTAGTAGAAAATAATGGAGAATTGTTAATCTGCAGTAAGAAGTAATAAGTAAAATGGTAGGACAGCATTTATTAAGAACTATATCAGCNAAGGCAGTTATTTAAGGTTGGCTTCAGATTTCATCTTTGTGCTTTAACAGACACAGCATTAGTAATCTCTGCCAATAATAGCCATCAGTCACAAAACTGTAAATGTATTTTTCTTCCATTATGAGTTTTTGTTTTCCATTTTGCTTTTTTATTTAAACATAAATAGCTAAAATCGTCAAATAAATTCAAGGTTGTATCAGATGAAAGCCTCAGTGAATACAAATTAATTTAAAGAAAATTAAAATGATTTATGGGTAAATCTATCCAAAATCCTAAATCTTAATATTTTCAAAATTTGTTCTGAGGAATTTTACCCCGGCCCTTTTTTGCACAATTGTCTGAATAGGCCCTGTTAAGATCATACAACAGCATCTCCATCAGATCTCTAATGTCACGATCCCATACCATTACCCTACCACTACCGTGCCTGAAATGTGATGCATTTTCTGTAAAATAGTTTTACAGCACATGTAGGAGGACACACAACTTTCAATAGTTTTCTTAAAAGGTAAGAGGTTAGTATTTCTTTTTGAGTAACAAGGGCCAATTCTTCCATTATTGCTATTTTTGCACAGATCTGTTTTTATTTCAGTTATTACCACTTACCCTAAATCCCGCAAATAACGTTTCAGAGCTTTAGATGTTGTTCTATGTTTTCCTATGTTATTTTTTTTTTTAACCTCCTGGATAATTTGTTGATGGACTCCTTATCTAATTTTGGTATGCTGGTAACTCCTGGCAAGGTTTCCAGCCGTTCCTAAATTTATCAAATGTTAAGCTTTATGAAAGTTTAGACAAATGAATATTGACTGAACAAGGACATATTGTTTGGAAAGGCTGCCAGGTACCAAAATATTTTCTGTATAAAACAACAGAGGGCAGTTATGTGTAAGAATCATATATTATTCACTCACATGGGAGTAAAAGGCCCTGTTTTTTATTGCAGTGCCTCTGTGTCAACTGTACTGCTGACATATTACGATCTTTGGTATTGATTTGATGTGTTTGAATTGCGGCAGTAGAAGTGGCTGTCTAACTCTACTATCGTGTTTTAATGACAACCAAAGTTATTTGCCTCATAACCGACAGACAAGCTGTTTAAGCCTTGTGTTAAAAAAAGCAAGAATTTAATCCTTGATAGCTCCCAGCAAGACAGCAGATAAGATACCTGGTGTCATAGCAGTGCAAGGAAAATTAACAGCAAAGATAAAGATGTAGGGATGTTCATCAGCACTGAAGGACTATGATTTTAGGATTTCCCTTTTATTTCTGCTAAATCCTCTGGTCAGAATTTTCCATTTGAAATCAAATAAATTAGTAGCAAGAAAAGATATGAAGAGCTCAAACAAGAAATTTGTGTTTTCTGGTTCATACATTTTTGTTTTTTTTTTGTTCATAAATGGGAATTAACTTGTTATTAAACATTATACCCCAGCATAATGCATCACTTCACTCAGATCGACTGACTCCTCAGACTTTACTTTAGTCTTGACCCACCAAAAAAACAAAAACAAAAAAACATTTCTTGACATTTTGAAATAAAGATCCACCTCAAGACCGTATAACTGATATATGAGGGTTAACAATGTCTCTTTGAACTGTCTATAAATGCTGAAGAACCAATGTTATTTAATACCTTTTGCCAGAACCGTGCCTAGTTTACATATTTAATATTTCTGTTGAGTAAAACATTTTTGTGTTTTTATTCCCAGGTATGCTGCTTCTGTGAAGGATGGTTCTCAGTACTTTGTGCTCCTCATCATCACTGATGGTGTCATCTCAGACATGGCTCAGACGAAGGAGTCTATCGTCAATGTAAGGAAACATTTATGTAGCTGATAAACTCCTCAATTTCAGGAAACGTTTCCTGAACCCTGTTGAAACTAATGTAAAAGTGTTTGGTCATGACTATTAGATTTGTAGGACAAAAAGGAGCAGTTTGCAAACCTGAGAATGACATCCTCACTATAAGGCGTGGTGGTGGCAGCAAATTAAGGTACTTTTTTAAGGAAATGGGTCTTCCAAATCCATAAAGTTCCCAGCACAGCCAAATTAGGTGGCTTAAGGAAAACAAATCCAGTGTTTTGGAGTAGCAATCACTAAGCTCTGATCCCATTTAAATGGGTTAATTATTTATAGAGAGAGCTGCAAAGGTCTACGAATCTAAATCAGCTTTAACGTTTCTGTCAGAAGAATCTAGAAAAAAATTCTTTCAAACTATTAAAAATCTTCAAGAAAGAGAAACACAATTCAACCCAAATAGGCATTTCTAAAGACGTGTTTACTTGTAAATTTTAAGAGTACAAAAAGATCTAGTAATTGCCTGATTTAAAAAGCATCTTTTTTATCCATTAAATGTTTAGAAATCTCCTATTAAAGATGTATTTTAATATATATTTTCTCCCCCAGCTTCCTTTGCTGCATATTTCATCAGGTTCAAACATTAATTAAACAAACATCCATCCACCACCACTGTCTTGTTTGCTGGATTTTTTTTCCTCCTGTCTCTTCTGATTACATACACCACAGTCTGAATGACAGCTGAAAAACAAGATGCTATTTTCTAATCAGCTTGTTTTGTGGATAATTATCAGCTTCCAACTTTACTGACAAATAAATGTCAGAAAATCACACGTTATTGTAGTTATCAGCTATTTCTGTCCTCCAGAACCAAATCCACTCTGATAAAAAAATAAATAAATAAAAATAAAAGAAGCTGTCAAGAGATATTATCTTCCTTTCCTTGTTTTGCCAGTAGAAACATTATGTAACAAGAGTGTTTTTACTCTCTACTTTTTTATATGGTGGGTTTCACTAACAGTATGTTATTCCCCCCGTCCTCTCCATCACTGTCAAGTCAAAGCGTACTCTAGAGGAAAGAGTGTCGCTTAGAACACAAACAAAACAGAGAGAGGACGGCTGCCATTCCTGAGAAGCCAGTGACCCGAGCCTTTGAACGCAGCAGCAAAGAAACGTGGGCTAGAAAACATGAAGAGATGATGTTAGAGAGCGGAAAAGAGGGGGAAAAAAAGGAAGACAAAAGAGAGGAATAGAGGCCTAAAGGGGAGCAAAAATAAAATCAAGATGTTTTGATAGGATCATCAATCTCTCTCTGCAGCCTGGGGTTAAAACATTAGTCAGATACACTGAAAGCATCATTGGTATCTTCTCTATAAATCACCCTCTACCCGCGATCGCAAAGTGAGCTCGTCATTTGTAAGCTGTCAGTGAGTTCAGACGATGTCGTAGATTTTCTAACCTCCAACAACAGTGACTGTGATGTGTCTCAACCCACACAGCGCCACATGAGGAGGCGCGTGTCAAAACATTCACACAAACCCCCTTAAATACTAATTACACATTCAGAGTGGGCAATGCAGTGCCAACATGGCTATTGTCAAATTGGAAAATAAAATATCAGACAGAGAAGTGAAGATTGAAAACACCCAAATCTTCACCAGAGAAGTGAAGATTTAAAACACCCAAATCTAGAATTTGTTGTTATAAAAAAGGAAAAAATAATAATTTGAGGACATTTTTCAGGTATAAAACAGTTTAAATTAACTTGTTTGTACAAAAATGTACAACCAGTCCCTGATTGGTTGCCTTGTGGCAATTTGACAGAAAAGTTCAGCTTGTTTCATCTTCCGTGTTTACTGCTCTGCTCTCTCCATTCGATATGACAACATCTCTAGACCACAAGGTGAGTGCAGAGCAGGGAACGCCCTTACTGCGTGCGATTCACCGGTGCTCGCTTCCCTGAGTGGTTTGCATTGGAATTCTATGTCTATGTTTTAATAAAAAACAATGAATTCAAAGGAACAATTTATTACATTACAAAAAGTGTATTTCTATGCTTTAAACTAAGATGCATTATAGGGGAAGTTATCATATGCATTGCAATATGCATGATAGTCTGTGGCCTCCACTTAAACCAAACAAACAAACAGCGCTGTCCATGGTGCTGACGCTCTGCTCTGGCTACCCTGATGTGCTCATCATGCCCACAATGCTGCTGGTAGTGGGAAAATTGGAGGTTAATGCAATTTCTTGACAATGCTCATGCACAGAGCTGTAATGCTTTTCATTAGATAAAGAAAAGTATTACAGATTTTTAATACTTTAATTATTAAAGATGCATTCTTTTCCCATATGCAGACAGGAACAGGGAAAGCAAGAACCAGTGGTGGATGAGGGGATCTGATGAGGGGCCTGCGCTCTCGCTGTGTCATTGTTATTCTATACATCTTTACCAAACTTTTCTCGCTATCGGCATCAGACACAAATCACATTGACCTTTTTAGGGTTTCTATTTTACATTGTGAGTCAGATTTGGATTTAGAAGCAGTTACATCAAATAAATAAAGTGAGAACGTCCCCACTAGTAGATTATTAGAGTTTAGTCCGTGAATCATCCTTTAGATACATTTAAGGTTTTCTTTGGAGGTTCGACTGACCTGAGTGTTTCTTTCTTTTTCTTGCTGTACCTGAAAATTCTCAGGATCCTTTTAAGGGTGTTGTGTGTAACTTTATTTCATTTTAATTCAAATTCGGTTCTAATTTGATTTCCTTAACATGTGTTATGATGACGGGATTGTATCATTTTATCTGCAGCTTCTGTTGTTGTTATGATCTGGTTATTTAAGCATTATTAAACATGGCACTTTTAATATGACAATAAAAGCTTCTGTTTTGTTTAAAGCTGTTGGGGATTTGGATGCTTCAACCCAGTTGGGAGACATAAGGGGTTGCACGCAGTGGCAACTAGCCAGTAGAGGGCGCCAAGGCGCTGCCCCACCCATCCAATGACCTTGATTAAAAAAAATTTATTATAAAATTTAAATATTTCAAAATACAGTATATTAATACATTTTAGATGTGCAAGATAAATATTTAATCTTTAATGACATGTAAAGCTTTGGCCATTGATGGCATCTGTAGCCACCATTGACTCATTAAAAGTAAATGCACAGTAGCTTCTCTTCAATGCAAAATTATAAGAGATCTCGGGGCGCAGGAGATTTCCGCCCTGAGCTTACCCAGAATGTCATCACAGTTGTAGTGTGGCTGATTGACAGGTTCAGTCGTGAAAGTTGGAGAAAGAGAGAGAAGTTAATTGAAAAATTAAATTAAATGAAGTCCATTAAAGCAAGAGAAGCTTCAGGTGAAACCCTTTCAACCTTATCAACCACACAACAAAATTACTAAAATTAAATAATATAATATAGTGTACTTTTTCTAGATTTTTGTTAATTTCCCTAGTTGCTATTAAAAAACACATTCTCAGAAAATAATTATTTTTATATATATAAAAACAATCTAAAGCTAAAAGCTGGTGTGATAACTTATTATATGTTTGATTGACTTTTGGTAAACGTCTACTCTGAATTTATAGCCCCCCCGGCCGTGATTGCATGGCTAAAAACGTTTGGTAACCACTAGATCAAATGCGTTAATTAGGTCACTTCTATACCAATGGTTTAAGATCATTGTATCATTATGCAAAAGAATTACGCAGTCATTGGCCATTTAACTCTAGAGTTCTTGATGTAATTGCAACACATCTATAAGTCTCTCCAAATTACAGATGCATAGCTCAATTCAACAAATGCTAGCTGAAGTTTGGGAAAACATTTTAACCTGAGACTTTTGGGTTTTTTTCTGCCTGTCTTGTAGGCTTCCTGCCTCCCAATGTCAATCATCATTGTGGGAGTCGGGCCAGCAGAATTTGATGGTAAGCTCTGCGTTATTGACAAAAAAATCCTTTCGTAATTTGATATTTTGAAGTTGTACACAGAGGTTACGCTTTCAGCCTTGAGGAATGACTGGCATACCTGGGCAACATCCTTTTGTAATTGAGGCTCAGTTCTTTCAGTGCTTTTTCTTCCTCTCAGCCATGGTCGAGTTGGATGGCGATGAAGTAAGAGTCTCTTCCAGAGGACGACAAGCAGAGAGAGACATTGTTCAGGTAATTAGTAACTCCTTTGTTCCTCTGATCTGAAGTTTCAAATTTAGCCAGTTCTTGTTTACAACACAGCTTTGTTATTTAGGTTGGATCATCCTGTTCTAAATTTGTTCTTAAAATTATCTTTGTAAAAATTTCACCAAACAACGGCTTTATCTCTTTACCTTCCTTTCATTCATGTTGGGTTCCTCCATTTTTGGGCCGTTTTCATTAAAGCAGCTAGAATCTCCTGGTCTAATCGTATTTTAGGTTCTTTAGTCTTACGTTTATGTCTTAAAACTATTTTCTTTAATCCTTTGCTCCCCCAAACCACTGTTTCATCACTTCTTCCCTTCAACGAATCCCTGCCTTAAGAGTTTATTTATATAGAAAGAATTAAAAATATAACAAAAGCATAAGAAAAGTAAATGGCATTGGTTTGATTAAGGAATGTAAATTACAAAGAACAGTTTCTGAAATGAATGTGTTTAGGTTAACAGTGAAAATAGACCAGTCAAAAGCTGGTCTAAACCAAAGGAATTTTAAACCTTTATTTAAAGGAGCTCAGAGTTTTTGGATCTTTGCAGTTTTCTGAGTTTGTTCCAGGCTAGTGGAGCATAAGAACCGAATGCTGCTTTTCCTTGTTAAAAGTATATTCTTTAAGATACAGGAAGTCACGGTGAGGAATTTAGAACTGGGGTAATGTGCTTTGCTTTCTTGTTTTGAGCAAGGTCTGAGTTGATCACTCCATCCGGACTTTGAGCCTAATCACTGGCTTCTAGCTGAACTGACTGAAGTAGTGATTGCTCCACCTTACGTCCAAAAATAGTTATTTTAGTTTTTTCAGCTAAAGATAATTATGGAACATCTTGGATTGATTTGTTCTATGAATTTACCAAGAACTTGAATTGGTTCATAGTCACCTATTGACATTGTAATGTAGAGCTGTGTGTCATCTGCATAGTTTCGATAAATCATCTTATTGTTTTTTATGATCCCAGTTAGGGAAAAAATAATGAGATTAAATATGAGGCCTAGTGGTTAGGGCATAGAGCTTGGAATCCCGAGGTTCTGAGTTTGAGCCCGACTCCCAAGCCCTGGGCCTGGGTCTCTGAGTAAGACTCTTAACCCCCCACTGCTCCACGGGCGTCGCAAAAATTGCAGCCCACTGTTCCCCAAGGGGATGGGTTAAATGCAGAGGTAAATTTCTCCATTGTGAGATCACTAAAGTTCAATTATTTATCTATGTATTTACGAAAGGCACTAAGATGGAACCTTGGGGAATTCCACACTTAATTAGTCAACTCTAATGCAGGTATCTATAGACACAAACAAATTCACCGACTAAAATCAGTCACATCTGCACTTCTGGTGCTCCAGTAATCCAACATATTCATCAGTGTGAATCCACTTAGGTTTAATAATACCAGTACTGTGGTTCTTTCATAGTCTGCACCTAAACTGATGCTAATGAAGACCTGGACAAGGGCTGGTGGTATGTTTATATGAGCATGAAAACCTGACTGGAAGTGGCTGGTCATTGTAAGAAAGGTTTTTAACTGTTTAAACCCCATAACTTTACAGAAGGGTGAAATATTTAAAATGAATGTGTTATTCTGCAACAGAAACTGTTCAAAGTTGTTATTTTTATAAAGTGATGTGTTTAATAATTGAGTCTAATCAGATGCTATGAAAAGGAGAACTTAATTAAAGAAAGCTCTAGGTAAAGCATTGAGAAAGCAGAAGGAGGAGCTCAAATGGTGTACAATTTCCTCTATAGTGTATTTTTTTCCAATAATTGTTTTGATTGGGTTATGCATACCTGTCCTAATGCAACTGTGCGTATTGTGTTTTGTGTTGCCGCAAAGGAAAATTATGGTGATACTAATAGATCCATGCAATATCCTGGCATAAGAGGAAAAAAAAACATCCATACTAAGATGTTTCTTTGACTGTGACTCAGTAAAGCCAAACCATGACCTTTATTTCACCACTGTAATACCGTACTGCCTGCCACCCTCACATACAGAAGCCGGGATGCTCATTAGCTGGCTTTTTAATAAGCGGATGCACACTCATACACAGTTGCTTCATCGATGGAAGAAAAAAAAAAAGAAAAAAGTTTCTCTAGTAGAGTATTGCTTCAGCTCAGCCTGCAGATTCTCATTATGAACAAGTTAATAACCCAAATAACATGGCGAGGTATAAGCAGTGGAAAACTTCTGTACAAATTGGCTGCATATAGGATCTTGTTACTGCAGGTGAAAAAACATTCAATAAAATAAAGAAAACTTTTTTATCCATGATATGTAATTGCAATAAAAGATGGTGTTAAGGTTGCAGCAATTTTGAATCAGCCCTGCTAAGTGCCTTCAGATGACAGGTTCTGAATTGGTGAAATAGAAAATGACAGTGAATTAAATTAAAATGCAAACTGTGAGGCAACAGTGATCCAGTATGTGTGCAATAATTCTTAATAGAATCACATTGAAATCCTGATGAAATTAGATATTTTCCTACCTTATTTCTGGCATTATATTTGGCAGTATTTGAGCAAGGAAGGAGGACACTTTGTTTCCCAGAATATACATAAATCAATTGCATTACCTAAAAAAAACAGATTGCTATGAATGTGAACTTCCAGAACAATATAGACTGTTACTCAGGAAGAGAATGTTGAGTTCAAGGATCTTTTAATGATGGAAAATGACAAACTGAAAGATGCTTATGAACAATAACAGACATAAAGTCAGGAAACTTAGACGAGGAACCAGTGCCAAACTGAAGGCTTAAGTAGAGCAGAGAACAGGTGCAGACACTGGGCTGAAACAGAAGAGACAGGAGAAAAAAAGTCAGTTTATTAACGAAGAGTCTGGCTAAAGAAGAAATTACTTAAGGTCAAACAGGGTGAAAAAACAGCCCTAACAGAGCCTCCACCAAAAATACAGAAAGAATGACTGACAAACTAATGACAAAACTAACTAAAAATACAAAGAAATACACAAAAAACATTTACTAGAAAAAAACCTGTAAAAAACGAAGCAAAACAGAACATGTATGGCAAACCCTAAATAGCGAAAAATCACAAAATAAGGCAATAACTAAGAACTAAATCAAAACTATGATCCAACCTGCAGATCTGGACACAGACATGCTGATTTTGTTGTTTTGACCACCTTTGTCATCAAAAAGTACTAACTCCTGCTTGCATCATGTTTTTTACTTGATCGTATTCCAATCCCCCCTCCCCGGGCGGGTAAATACGATAAAGTAAAATGATACAACTGGCATAAAATCAAATACAAACAGCATAAAAATAAAACAAGCCAGTCCCATCGAGGCGTAATCGGAGACAATGACACACGAAGTGTGCTCCTGATGTCCAGTCTGCTCCGTAGCTTTTTTTTGGTCGCTGTAACCGCAGAAAATCCCGCTTCACAAAGATAGGATGTTATAGATAGGATGAGTCTTAACCTGTGTCAAGACGCACAGATGCACTGACTGATGTAATTGGGACAGAATACCACAATTTTTTATGTTTTTCAAAATAAAACATCCCTCAGACTCTGATCGTCGATAAATTATTCTGTGCGCCCCGGTACCAAATGACCGACGGACCGGTACCGGTCCGCGGCCCGGTGGTTGGGGACAGCTGGTTTAGCTGAAAGGTGAACCTCTATTATGTATAACAGGGGTCTCTAACTCGAATCTTCAAGGGCAGGTGTTCTGCAACTTTAAAACGTGTCTCTTCATCAGCAAATCTAAATGAAGTATGGGCTAATTAGCAGAGCTTAAATATAGATAGAAAGTTGATGTGATTCATGTGTGTAGGGCAAGAGATACCAGCTCAGATTTCAGTTTGAGAACCCTGTTCTATTAAGATTTATTTCTGGGGTTTTCCTGAATTTAGGACACTCTCCCATCAGCTTTAACATCAGTGTTAGTTTTTCGATTTAGCAAAAAATTTACATTTTACCTGAACAGAGCTCCTTCTGCTGTTTTCTGGTAGCCATGTCTCTGTAGGCCCACATATGCGACACTGATCTCCACTTTTGTTGAAGATGGACTCAATAAATCTAAATGTCAAAAACCTAGGATATGCAAAAAGTTCAAGGGTTACATTAAATGAGCCAAAGGTGCTAACAGTTAGACTTGGACTTTTAGCAAATATAAAAGATGTTAAAAAGTCTCAGGAATTCAACGTGTGTTTTTAATAGTTTGTTTTTGCTCCTTTTCATCCTAGTTTGTTCCATTTAGAGACTACATCGACAGAAGTGGAAACCACATATTGAGCATGGCCCGGCTTGCAAAAGACGTACTGGCTGAGATTCCGGACCAGTTCCTTTCCTACATGCGGACCCGGGGAATAAAGCCTTCACCCGCGCCACCTCCCTACACACCGCCAGGGCAGCCAGTTCAAACCCAGATATAAAGAGCAGGCTGTTAAAAGTTAAAGCCTTGCAGTCAGGTGTTCTCAGAACTTAACGCTCAAAATACTTCCGTCTCCTTAAAGCCGCTCTCCATGCTTCGCCATCATGGATGACAGGGGTTTTTCTCATGGTCAGGAAGCTGCGCGTCAGGCCAGGAAAGACGTGCTTTAGAAGGAAAACTCAGCAAGAGTCTGTTTACTTCCACTATCAAGCATTCCTATAATTGTCTGGATTTTGATAGGATAATTATTCCTTTTCTCTTGTTGTGCATGTGTGTGTGAGTGAAACCGGAAAAGCTTTGGAGAGAGTTGATAGATTCAAATTGTGCAGAGAAAAGAGAAGTAAAGAAGGTAAAAACTAATAGGCTTGAAAATTCTGGAGAATGTCTGCAGATATAGAAAAAAAAAGTATCTTCATTTTCTGTAAAAAGAAAAAAAAAATCGAAATATGTACCATTTCTTTCTCTTTTCTCTCCCAGAATAATTGTTTACAGTAAATGCTAGCAAAGATTTGTACCGTTGATACTTTTATATACATATAGTTTCACTCGGAAAGTTGTAATACTTTCTCTTCTCCTGGCATTTATGTCAGGTAGCTGCAGTGCAGGTAGCCCAGTAGCCCTTCTGTACTGTACCGTACCGTGCTGTACCGTACTGTACTGTATTCTAGTGTTTGTATTAACCTTTTGCATGCATGTAGCCTCGGTCAAGTGCATGCACATAGTGGCCCTGCACTACCTCTTCTATCCATACATGTTTGTGGGAGGTAAATTAACTTTCTTTTACTTAATTTATCCCCCTTTGTGCCTAGTAGCTGTATTTCCATCCAACTAATTAATTTTTTTCCTTGATTTATACACGATTTGTGTTATTATTACAAAACAAAATCAAATATCAGGTATTTGCTTATTTCAGTGTTTTTAAACCCCATTCTAATATCATCTGCATACGTGATCCCCTATGAGTTTGGGGATTTGTAGCCTTGTAGAGTGTAGCGCTGTGTGCACAGCTTTTGTCATCTTTAAAGTCCAAAGAAAGTTAAAAAAAAAAAAGATTGTGATTATAAGTTCTGATGTCTCCATTTACACTCAGATCGTGAATACACCTACCAAATTACATTCACATGACTACTGAATAAGAAAACTCTTATTTTCCCAGAATCTTTTAATCCTAACATAGGCCAAAATTCTTTTATAACTGCAATTTACCACATCATACAAGGTTTTCCATTAAAATCTAAAGCTTAATTAACCAATTAACAGAATGCAACATGTTTTCTCATGTTGGCTCCTTTTTATGGTGGTATGTTAATGTTTAATCTATGAAAAAATCATGTTAAGTTAATAAGAATAATGATTTTGTTGAAATTCCAACCAACATTGCCATGTTGCTCCTTTGTTTGCTTTTTTGTGTTTTGCTTTAATATTTATTAAGAGTCTATAAATAATGTATTATATCTGTGCCATACTATAGTGTTGTATCAAAGCAAATAGTCATGGTTAGCTCATTAAAACAATTTTAGTAATACTAGGCAAGGCAAGGCAAATTTATTTGTATAGCACAATTCAGTACAAAGACAATGCAAAGTGCTTTACATGATTAAAGCACTACATATGTCTAAATGCAAATATTCATTCAGTTTTGTTTTGTTTTTTTAATCCACACAAATTTTATGATAAAAACCGCAATATAGGCTAGGAAAAAAAAATATGTTGCCAAAATTATTGAGTTAGCTAAAATGGGGGTTAGGATTTAGAAAAGTTTTTTTTTTTTTTCTTCTTTGGAGAACCTTTTTGCAGTTGAATCATAAGCTAACACAACGCCCACAAATTTCAGCAATGTTGGTAGCCCATGAGTCAGAGTCTGTGCTGGCAGCTTTCTCTAAGCTTGCAATTAAAGTGTAATCAGCCTATAGAAAGGTATATTTTGGTCTATTGTTCAAAATAATAGAAAAAAATGTCAAAACATTATGTGTGCAGATAAGCTCGGTTCATTCTCCTGACATTGCACACATCTGATGTCTCTAAAAGAAACTGCCTCTTCTTTACTGACAGTTTCTCTTGCTGTTTTTATATGAAGCAGCCATAAGTAGAGTCTGGCAAAACAAAGCCATACAGTAGTAGCCACTGAAAATTTCCCCACTTTCCTAGATGGGCCCTTGGTTGGGCCCCTAAAATCTCTTTATTAAACATCAATCTTTGTACTAAAATATTCTTTCTGTCATGATTTGTTAACATTAAGATCTAAAGAGAAGCGTTATCTCCTGGTCAGACCCTGTAATTTAGGTCAAGGGTGTAGTCAGACTAAAAAAATTTGCACGCCCAATAGAAGGCCAGTGGCTGGAAGTCAGAGGGGATTTTGCTGCCTTTCGGCTGCCAATCGGCTGGCTTTCGGCTGACATTCGGCTTCCATTGGGCTGCCATTCGGCAGCCCTTCGGCTTCCATTGGGAAGCCATTGACCTGACATTCGGCTGCCATTCGACTATCATTCAGCTGCCATTCGGCTCCAATCGGCTGCCTTTCAGCTGCCTTTCAGCTGCCATTCGGCTGCCTTTCGGCTGGAAAGTGTCATTTTGAATGGCTGCTACTCTAATCAGTGCTCTTTTTCAAGAAATTTTACTTTCAGGCATTCACTAGATGTTTGTATTCTAGAATATTTGCATTCTGATGTATTAATTAGAATTTTCAGACTTCTTGAAAGTCCATTATAGTGGCGCTAATGATGTCAGGAAGTGCTAGCTATACAACATCTAGCTCTTCTTCTTTTTTTCTAAAGCTAATTTTACCCGCTCAACATCCAGTCTGTAGGTTCTTAAGAGTCTGAGTTAAAACAGAAATTGGAGAATTTTTTTTAACCACTCTAGTAACTTTTTCTTTTAAGCTAGCATTCCCCGATTAACTAAACTGCACAAAACTGCTTACATATTATAAACTCATACTGTTATTGTTGTTTTTTAACAGGTTTGGGCCTAATGTTTAACAGTCCATTTTTTCTTAATTAACGAAATTGATCATTTTTGGGCAACTATAAACATTTTATGTAGCATTATTGCCTGTTGTATGGAAATGTAGCTACTATCCTCATATTTTTGCATCTCTTTCCACCATACTATGTTGTTAATTGTACGCCCATGTGGTCAGGGGTTTTATGTCATCGCGTCCTCATCCCGCATTCCTCCCCTTGAGTTTAACACATCCCAGCTGCTCTCAAACAAAATGTTTGAGCAAATAGAGCCCAGTGGTCAAAAATGCATAGAAAAACAAATTCATCCCATTTTGTATTTTTTTCTTCATTTTTGTAGTATTGCAGAGTATGGACGCGCGTTTGCCAATTTTTATTACGTCTTTGGCTTTGATACGACTTTGTACACAAGTTTTAATTTTGTATTTCTACGTGCTCTAGTGTGTATGAATTGTGTATCCACCGACAACATCTGATGAATTAACACTGATGTCTTCTGTTATTGTGGCACGTTTGTATTGGATGCAGTCTGATTTGTGTTGTCATGCAAGGGATGTAGTGATGAGCGAGAATGAAAATATGACCCAAGTTAAAAAAAAAAAGCTATGGCAGTAGCTTAATATCCATCTCATCATGGTTAAACATTTTTTAATTGACAAATATTTTATTTTAAATTCTGAAAGAATAGCATTCAGAGGTTTGGATGTTGTAAGACCATTCATGAGCAGTCATGGAATAAATTTTTTTTTGCTATGTCACACTTTCTCAAAGTCTTAAATCAAATCAATCTTAATGTCAGAAAAAAAGCGTTTGCCTTCTCGAGATAATGACATAATTATGTCGTTACCACGGTTAAACCATTAATTGTTTTCTCGAGATAACAAGATAATTATCTCGTTATCACAAGAAAACAGTTATTAATTTCTTGAAATAATGAGATGATTAACCTGTATGGGTAATGAATGAGGCATGACAACAGCCCTGGATTCCCAGTTTATTTATGCCTGTGCTGCCCGTCGTTTAGCAGTCGCTGTAACGCGTGTGCGCAAATAATCCGTTTTTTGGTTTCCTTTTTCTTTTCACTCATTGTCAGTTGTCAGGTGGATGATTGGATTGCATGGAATACAGTAAAAATAAATCTGACTGTTTTTAAATGAAAACCTTTAAATTATTTTGGGGGATTAATGCATTTTATACCTGTTACAGGCGTAACACCAAGGCTGTTCAGAAAACGCATAGGTCTAATTGCTTACGAATGAAAAGTGGAAGCAAATCATCAAACCGACGACATTGTCTCATTAAAAGCTAAACACAGGATTATTTACAAAATTACACATAGGATGCCATGATTTATACTTATGAATCCTCCCCCGCTCTTGTGGTATTGAAGGATGTAATTAGTTTTAACACACACCAACCATCTCGTTATGACGAGGAAACGGCTTTCCTTATCTCTAGATAATGAGAAAATTAACGATTAATGAGAAAACCACCTTGAAAAAGTATCGGAGGGACACGACCGCTCTCGGCTAATTAACGCTGAAGGATTTTTTTTTTTCTTATGAATACATTGGAGTGTTTTTAAGCATGAAGGCCTGTGCAACATACTATAGCCTCCCAAATAAAGTTAAGTTTGAACCTCCTAGATGAATCAGCTAGGATTGCCTCACCTAGAAAAAATTTTTTTTAAAGAGGCATCATGGAGTTTCCTAAAGATACTGACACCTGTGGCCAAAACACAGAACTGCAGCACTCTTCTGCTTGTTCTCGTAGCTTACATGGAGTTGCCATTGGTTTCTGAGTTGAGCTGGTTGGCGGTTGCCTCTGAGTAGCCACAAAATCCATCTTTAATATAACGCTTTGATTGTTTGCTAGATCGGGCCCATTTAACATAGACGCGCTTGTTATCACATCCGCTGAACAGCTCGGGAACTTCCGACCTGAAGCAAATTAAGAAAAAAAACAATATTTTAGTCATAAAGGGTCAAATAAAAAGGCTATTTTAAAGATATTATTCTGTAAAACCATAATAATGTCTCTTCTAATCCCAAAACCCTTTCCCCACTAAATACCCCAACAATATTTGACATCCAAATTTCTTTCATGATCTTGCAAATATGTTTTTTCACACCACTGTATTTTTATTTATTTTTTTTTTACTGTATATTATATCAGATATAGTGAGAACTCACCAACAGCACAAGTAAAATTTGGGATTTCAAGCTTTTAACAAGAAATGTTACTTGTCTGTATATATACAGATTTTTATGTGCAGAATTAGTATCAGGCTGTGATGAATCGTTAGGATTGACCATCAGATATACAGCTTGAGCATACTTTTACAGTCCAACAAACATTTAATGTGTATCGCAATAAGCTGTTAAATATAGGACAAAACTCCCTATTTGAATATTAAAAATGAATTACATTGTTTAAAAGATTTCTACTAAATCATTAAAACTCTTGATGCCATGTTGCACTATTTGGATCAGTTTTGCTGCAGTTTTCACTACACCTACAAACAGTTGCCTCCTAGCTCCAAACTATTTAACTTTTTTGGACACTGTAGCAGAGTGAATGTATGTTTAGGGGCTTACAAGAGTCACTGTGTTCAAAGCTCAGCTTGGTCACATCATTAGAACAGCAGGTCAAAATGAGAGGCTCATTACTGCAGCAGATGCACTGTAAAACACAAACACTTAACTGGTAAATGGTTCTGCACTGTGGGACTTACCACAGACTTCCTTTATTGGTGGGAAATTATGTTTCTCATCCTTGCAGTATGTAACATCAGCTACTAAACAACCATATAGAACTACAAACTAGAGTTCATGTATCTTATTGATATAAAATGTAATAGTACATTAAATTGAAGGTTCAGTCAAGACAAGCACACCATAAAAAGGGAAATATTAACAGTATTAAATGTTTTGACAAGTTTAATGTACTGTTTTTATGTAGTCCAGGTGATGCTAAAAAAGGAACTAAAGTATTTTCTACTCTTGCCCCAGAAGTTTTAGGAGTTTAATTTCCTAAAAAATCTTCTTTAAGGGACCTTTGGCTATCCAATTATTAAAAAAAAAAAAAAAAAAAGAAATCCACTGACTAATCGATTAGCAAAATACTCGTTAGTTGCAG